CAAGTTATAAGCTTTGGGAAAAAGGTGTTTTTGTTGACTTTCAAAAATGACCTATAATGTCCAAATTCATAACTTCTTGTGAGTGCATTTTTTGATCTTGGGGTATGAAGATGGATTGTAGGTAATTTCATCCTATTCAAAATTAGCTTTGGATGGGTCATTTCTCATAAAGTATGAGAAAGTTATGTTTGGTCAAAGTTGAGTTGACTTTTCCTGCAAAACCCTAATTTAGCAACTTTTGAGTCTTGATGAATTTTGAGCAATCCTTGATGAATCATGATAAACCCTTGATAAAATGATGAAATATCCTTAAAAATGAGAATGTTGACAAAAAATCTTGAAGTTTGACTATTTATAGGTCACAGTTGACTTTTGCCCTAGCACAGTCAATTTTTGGACCTTTGAGCAATTGACTGAGCAAACTTCCTCTGCAAGGCTTGAAATTTGACATGGATGATCTTGAGAACATATTAGGACATTAGGGAGAACTTGAGGTCATTTTGACTCAAGGATCTTGATGCAACACCAAACCCTAATTTAGGATTGACTGCCTTAGGAGATAGCTTGTCTGACCAACTCTTGAGCTACCTTGAGCCACTTGGAGATTTTTCTTGCAATGTCTTGAGGAATATGAGAGGGCAAATTTTGGGGCACAACACCTGACCCTTGATAGGAATCTCCTTTGACATACTTCTTAAGGTGTTCCTCTTGGATGAGCTACTCAATCTCATACTTTAGTTGGTAGCAGTATTTTGTGTGATGTCCTTTAACTTTGTGAAACTTAGACCATCTGCCAGGTTTAAATCGCATAACATCCGCCTATGGGGCTAGAGGTTCGGGGATATTATGCAAGTGGAAAACCTCATTCTAGATATGTTCACAACGGGTGTTCAGGGGCGTGAAGCTCTTTATAGCCTTTCCACCTCACTTGAACGTGGATTTGTCCCTTATGGGCGAGGTGTAGTTGTTCTTTCGCGGGTGCTGTCAGGCTTCATTGCTAGGAACATGCTCTTTTATGTCTCAGACCTTTTTCTCGGTGTTGCCCTCCTTGATGAATTATGACCACCTCTGCTAACGAAGATGCTGACCTTTGGCTGAGAGATTCTTTGAAGTGGTATGCTTTGAGACCATTCTGAAATGCTTCTATGAACATTTCTTGGTTTGGATTGATGACCCTTATGGTGGCTTAATTTAAATGAGCAAGGTATTCCCTCAACGACTCTGAGAGACCTTGTTAAATGTTAAACATGCTGATTTTTGATGGGTTAGGGCTTGCTCACGATGACGGGAAACCCAATTCGATGGTGTTTACGACCATGGAGAGATCAAGCTCACATGAGGTGAGTAGCTCTGTCTCTTTGAGTTATGAGTTGTCCTTTCTCACGCTAAAGATGTGATATTTATAAGGGCTTATTGGCTAGATAAAGAAGACTCCTAGAAAGTGGTAATTGTTCCATCTTGACTAGGGGAATTGTTGAGTACCTACTTCTTAAGGAGCCGTGGGCATGATTTTATACATGCATTTATGGACTAAGTAAACGTCATTGTTCATGTTTACCTTTAGGGCGAGATACCTACTACATGAGAGTTATGCCTCAGGCAACACAATGTGGGACAGGCGTCTGACAAAGAAAATACATGTGCCGCCCCACTTATGAATCCTTACAAATATATCACTACACTAACTAAATTCTCATTTCACACAAAAAAAAAAAAATTCTCACCACCTCCTATTCTTCAAATTACAATAACTTCTTATATAATGTAGAAATAAAATATTTTTTATCATTATATATATTCTTATAACTTCTAAAAAAGCCTTATAACTTACTATGATTATTTCTCTCATTTCATCCTCCTTATTTTAATTAAAAAATTTATTAATTAATTAAAAATACTATTTAATGTAATTTTATTTTCATAAGTTGATTCAATTCTTAATTTTACAAAAGAATTTAAATCCAATTCTTTTGCACAACAATTTTTAAATCCAATTTAAGTTTATTTTGATATCCAATACCAAATTTATTCCACTAATTTTTCTCTGACTCAATTATTCCACAAAAAAACATTTAAAATATAGGTAGCTTATAGAAAACGGTGGGTTTAGATTCGTCGTTTACCTATATATATAGAAGCGAAAACCCGAAAATAAAATTTAGTTCGGGTAAGGTCTTTCTTTGTCGCGTGTTGTTATTTTCTCTCTCGTTTTCGTTTTCAGACCGAAACCCTAACTCTGCACCGTAACCATGTCGACCAAGCAAGGTAATCTTCATTCTTCCATAACCCTCGTTTCATGAAAATTTATCGATTCTTTTATACATCTAAGTTTTTTTTTTTTTGTGTTTTTTTTTGTGAAGAACCCTAAAATATAGATCTGTTATGATGGTTGAAGATTTTGATTTTTTTTATTTATTTTTCGATTTGTGTGATTGATTAGCTTGTGTTTGTTGTTGTGATTTTAGGTGGAAAAGCTAAGCCTTTGAAGAAACCAAAGTCTGATAAGAAGGATTATGATGAGGTATTTTCAATTTTGTTAATTTTCTGTTTGTGTTGGTGAATGAATTTTTCATATTTGGTGCAGTTTTGTTTGAGGTTGAGTTTTTTATTGGGTGTTTTTGTTATAGAACTTAAATTCCTTTTTGTCTGTTCAAGAATAAGAAATTTTATAATTTTGATTGATCTTAATTAGATATCTATTTTGTCATAGATTGAATTCATTGATAATGATGATATCTTTAATTTATCACTAGTTGTGATTATGATTAATTTATTCATTTTTTCAAAGTATTACCTGTGTCCGACATGTCTGTGTCGGTGTCATGTTTCTAGTGTTCATGCTTCATAGATTATAGATATGAATCTAGAGAAAGGCGGATTATTGATGGTTATCTGGGAATACTTTTTAGTTTTTCTTTGTTTGGTGAACCATTATTCTAGGATACTGAAATCAATGTGAATATCTATTGAAACCTCGATACCTTTCATCTTTTTCTTTAGTTCTTGAAGGCCACTATGAATCTACGAAACCTAGAATAGGAGAGGCAACAGGGTGGTTATTGTGTACATGAGAGTATGTGGGAAGTTGTGTTAAGAGTGTTAAAGAACCTTTTGTATCTTTTCTGTTTTTTTTTTATCTGTGTTGGTGTTTTATTTAGATTTTTTTGTTTGTTTTGTTTTTGTTTATTAAATTTTAGTTTCCACAACAATTGGAATATGATTTCTTCTTTTGTTGTGTTTTAAATGTTTAGTACAACCATATTGCTAAGTTAATCTTGTAATGATGTTACATAATATTTGTGTTGGTGTTTTGTAGGTTGACATGGCTAACATCCAGAAGAAAAAAGACGAGGAGAAGGTGAGATCTATAGTTTTTTATCATTAGGTAAAAATTCCGTTACAATAATAATCCTTTATTTACCTGATTCTGTTGTATGCATTGAACAGGCACTAAAGGAGTTGAAAGCTAAGGCCTCACAGAAGGGATCTTTTGGAGGATCTGGCCTCAAGAAAAGTGGAAAGAAATAGAAGGGGCTCTTTTATCATGATTTCATATTTTCATTATTGAGCTCTGTAATTACGATTATGATCATGAAAACTTCTCTTATTTTGTGTGACCTGTTTTAATGCTGATGTTAGTTCTAAATCAAAGCATGTTATGATGATGTAAACGCAATAAGTTACTGCATTGTAGCTCTATTGTGTCTCCCTTTAGGGTTATATGATAATTACATCTGTTTACTTGCTGATGTTTTGTGCCTTTAAGGTTAGACTTTTTATGCTGATAAAAGCTTGGCATGACTTTTCAACTTTTTTAAATGCTCTTGGTCATGGTTTGTTAAACATGAAAAAAAAAAAAGCATTGAACTAAACCAAACTTGAATCTATAATTGAAATTAATATTTTGGTGTGGTTAATTTCATTTTGGAAACCACCATCTTATAAAACTGTTATCGTCATCTAAAAGCAATGGTGTGTAGAGCATAAGCACCGTAAATAGTGAACTTTTCCGCGTACGGTTTATTTATTTGAATCTAGTCACTATATCTTCCAAGCATTTTTTAGACCTTTCCATTTGGTTAAAATGTTGCTTGGAAGAAAATGGTTGGGTAAAGAAATAAGACTGGTGTACAATATTGAAAAAAACTTGATGAGCGTTGGTCTTTGTTTGAACAAGGATTGGATTATCAAGATAGTAGTAAACAGAGTAGATTGTACTCTGAATCGATTACACAATTGCCCCCAAGTTTTCTGAGTAGCAAAGGATTTATAAGGATTTACCGTCTCGAGTTAGAACTCCAAAGTCCCATTTTTCATATTCCTACTTAATTAATCTCAATAGGTGAGTTAGAACTCCAAAGTCCCATTTTTCATATTCCTACTTAATTAATTTCAATAGGTCACTGGATTTAGGTCACTGGATTTAGATAGGATTAATTGTGCTATTATGAGAGTTACATGTACTTGTAGTACTTTAAAAGCATTTATTCATTGACACTGATCAATGATCATGACAAGGTACTAGTAGGTTTGGTACCCTTGTTCAATGAGAGAGTAATACGTGATATATTAAAGAGTGTAGCATTGTTCATATATCCTGCACTTCTCATTTGAATGTGAAAAATCTCATTTCAAGCAGCATTGTTCATATAACCTGCGGTTCTCATTTAATAAACCCAATAATAATAAACCACACCAGTTTATAATTAATCATAGTGGTTTATAATTTACAACCCAGTTCTAAACCAATGCCATTTCTAATTGTTATATTGCCGTTTAATATAACAAATGCATAAACAACAATTAATCATTTTTTTGCAGGATAAATTAATCTCATGGTATACAACAATCCGAAAGGCTGGTCGAAAAATTGAATAAAGCTCAAACATCATTTCTTATTCAATATAATGGCCTAATATTACATTAAGTTCAACAAGCAGCACTACCCTAATGACATATCAAGATAACTGCAAAATTCAAGACAAGTCATTTACTACACACTATTGCTGTTCTGGATTCTCTTGCTCCTCGTTTTCAGGATCTTCCTCTTGCTCTTTCTGTTCTTCCTCTTCTTCATCCTCTTCAGGAGGATCTGCAGGCATTGGAGGTGGCAAGGGTGTCTTCATCGGACTAAACTGAGGGAAAATATCCGGTCTTCGTCCTGGCCTAGGCCTTTCCCATTCCTGTCAGTATATATATATATATATATTAAAAAATCTATCAGCTTGAGTATTTGAATGGCAACAAGTTAGGAAGAAAAAAAATTCTAATTTTCACAAAAACCTAACATCACCCAAACCGAATTTGAATATTACAATCAGAGCCAATAGATTGTGGACAAAATTATAGAAGAGTAACCAATCGTTAGTTGGTCTAAGGGTGATTGGCGCTGGACTTGGTAGGAAGTCCGTTCGGGAGGGAACTGGAACCACTTGAGGTTTGAGGTCAGAACTGACCGTCGAACCGGACTATACCGGGCTTGTTTCTACTTTTTCTATCAAACACAAATTCTCTTCTACACACATAAAATCAGAATAACAAAACATGCTTTCTTTATGTATACTTATTCTTTATCTACTTCAAACATGCATAAGGGGGAACAAAACCCTTTTTTTGAAATTTAGGTATGTGATTACTAAACTATAATAACAAACAAAAGTTCAAATTTTTCTCATAAATCTCATCGAAAAAAACGTATCATAAATAATAAAATTAAGAACTTCCCCGATTTCATCCCTAAACACCGCCAAACACAAATAATTCCTCTAACAATTCAAACACTTGAAAATTAAATTGAAATTGAAATCGAAATTTCAAAGAAGAAATGAAAAATCTTACGATTGGGAAATCCATAGGCGAACGACGAGTCATCTTCTCTTCATCAGGAGCCATACGAACGACATGCCTCGAAGAACGCGAACGGGGAAGGATAGAGAAGATAAACGGTAATCGACAGTTACAAGAAGAAGAGGAAGAAGAAGAAGGAAGATTAGGTTTAAGCGAAGAAGAGAGAGGAGTGAGAATGGGGTTTAGGGTGAAGAAAGCCATTGTTGTGTTTCCCTCAATACTCGCCGCACCCAATCCTAATCCCTACCTTTCGTTCCCTTTTCTTATGTTAAGTACTTACTCCCACTTTAAATAAATAAAAAACTCAAAATATTTTATTTAAAAAAATTCTTTCAAGTTAGTTTCATTCAACCGACTCACTCATTGCGACTCTCTAGTGACTTTGTCTAAAATTATATAAACTAAATTTTTGGTCAATGCATAGACAAATTATATAAACCAAATTTTTTTAGGGGTTAAGCTCATTTCATCCCATTTCCATCTCTCTTTACATTAGAATTTGGAGAGGATATTTAGAGAAAGAGAGAGCTAGGAAATTTTGGAGGAATAAGAAGAGAAAATTAGGAACCGATACAAACCATCAATTGCATGTGCAACAAGTTTAAAGCTTGAAGAGGAAGTAAGCTAGCAGAAGTTGTTCATTATAAGATCATCACCATTCTTCTCACCATCATCTCCAAATCAGTTTCTAAATTAAGGCGGGGTTTTATAAGTATTTGATTGGGAAGTTAAAACACTTTAGGTGATGCATGTGGGGTGGGAGTTTATTATATACTTTGTTATCTCAATTTCTTGATGATATTTATGTTTGGCTTGATGATGCATCTTTGCTTGGACCGAGATCATTAACTTATATGCTTTGTCCTTAAATTATGTTTTGATATACCATGATCCTACTGTTGGAGCACAAGAAAGATAAAAGATCAAAAGAAATATTTACTTATAGCTTCAAAAATAAGAATTTACAATGAATTATAATAACCTACTCTACTAGGCTATTTATACACATAAATTAAATCTAAAATATATCTTCTACAAAGATATAAGAAGATCTAAGATTTATATCTTCTAACGAAGATATAAACAATCTAAAAGATATTTCTAAATATAAATTAATATCTAATTAAATCTAAACAAATTCTAACATCATCCCTTAATTTATATTTATCCAAAACTGACAACGTCAATTCCATCCCTTAATTCAAGAAATTGATCAGTTTTGATAGCCTTTGTCAGAACATCTGCCAGCTGCTTCTAGGTGTTACAGTGCACAATCTCTATTATTCCATTCTGAACTTGATTCCTCAGAAAATGATACTTGGTCTCAATATGATTGCTTCTCCCATGCAACACTGGATTCTTGGCAAGATTGATTGCAGACTTGTTATCAATCATCAGCTTTAGAGGTTTATTTACCTCAATCTTCAGATCTTTTAGCAAGTTCAGAATCCACACAACTTGACATGCAGTCAGAGCACCTGCAATATATTCAACTTCACAAGTTGACAGAATAACAACAAGTTGCTTCTTGGAACACCAAGAAATAGGACCTCCCAGAAATTTGAATAAGTACCCAGAAGTACTTCTTCTGTCAACTCTATCTCCACACCAATCAGAATCAGAATAACTCAGAAGTTCTGATTCGATCTTTCTTCCAGACGGAAATAACACTCCATATTTCAGAGTTTCCTTCATATACCTCAGAATCCTGACTGCAGCTTGGTAATGGGACCACTTTGGTTTGCTCATAAATATGCTAATCATTCCAACTGCATAGAAAATATCAGGTCTGGTATTACACAAATACCTTAGAGAACCAACCATCTATTTGAAGGTTGTAGCATCCACATCCTCTCCATGAGAATCAAAATCCAACTTCTGATTCGTATCAGCAGGTGTGATAGCAATCTTGTAATTTTCTAGCTCAAATCTCTTCAGAAGCTCTAGTTCATACTTCATCTGATGTAAAATGATTCCTTTTTCAAAGTACATAAATTTCATCCCTAGAAAGAAACTCATTTTTCCAAGATCTGTCATCTCAAATGCATTCATCAGAACTTTCTTAAACTCAACTATCTCTTGTTCAGAACTTCATGTGAGTAATATGTCATCAACGTACAAACAGACCAGAATCATATTACCTTCTAAAGTGTGCTGAACATAAACACCATACTCCATCTCACATTTCTAAAACCCTTGTTCCTTAAAAAACGAATCAATTTTCAAATTTCAAGCTTTGGGCGCTTGCTTCAATCCATACAAAGCTTTGTGTAATTTGAACACCATCCTTTCCTGATTTTTTTTCTCAAATCCAGGAGATTGTGAGACATACACCTTTTCTTGTAATGGACCATTCAGAAATGCAGATTTTACATCTAAATGCATCAGAGGCCAATTCCTGTTAGCAGCTATTGCAATCACTAGTCTGATTGTTTCATGTCTCGCCATAGGTGCAAACACTTCAAAGTAATCCAGCCCAGGCTTCTGTAGAAAGCCTCTTGCTACTAATCTCGTTTTGTGTTTGCCAATTGATCCATCTGGCTTTAGCTTTTGCTTGAAAACCCATCTGATCCTGATGGCTTTCTTGCCTTTTGGAAGTTATGTCAACTTCCAAGTCTTGTTTCTCTCTATAGCATCAAGTTCTTCTTTCATGGTCTGTAACCAAACTTGTTTCTTAAGAGCCTCTTCCGTACTCACGAGTTCAGATTATACTAACATTGCACATTGAATAACTTCTCCTTCAAAGTCTACTTCAGTGTCTTGCAATATGTCAAACTCTGCAAATCTTCTTGGGATGCTTCTGACTCTTTGTTGCCTATGAACTGGACCTTCAGAACTTTGGACACCAAAACTTTCTCCTTCAGAAGCACTTGCTTCAGAAATTGGACTTTCTGCAGAACCTTGACTGTCTTCAGAGTCTTGAAAATTCCAAGGGTCTGAATCATCATCAGAGTCAGAGCCACTACCTTCAGAAATACCATATTCAAAAGTTGGATCACCTCTGCCTTCAGAAGTTCCACTTTCAGAATCATGATCATCGTCAAAGGCTGAATTTCCTTCAGAAGTTCCACTTTCAAAATCACGATTTCTACCAGAAACATGATCATCTTTAGAAGCTTGTCCTCCAGAACCTACGTCTTTAGAGTTTTCCCTTCTAGAAGCATGATCACCACCAAATTCTGGATCATCATCAAAATCTGGATCAGAATCAGATTCACCATCTAACTCACCTTTAGAGTTTCCAGAGTCATCATCTTCTGACTCTTCTTCAAAAGTAGAATCTTCTTCAGACTCAAAATCACCTTCGAAGTCTAATTTGTCTTCAGCTTCAGAGTCATCTTCTGATTCTAACTCAGAGTCATATTTTGATTCTAAGTCATACAAAATCACTCTTTTAGAATCAAAATATTCAGAGTCATATTCTTCTTCCCCTTCAGAATCAGAAAATGACAATTTCACTGGTTCCTTATCAGATTCATAAGCCATAAATAGCACAAGTTCATCATCTGAATCTCCTATGGCTATATTTGCTTCTTCTGACTTCCTTTCTTTGTTTGACCAACAATCTTTGGCATAGTGACCAAAGTTCTTACAATAGTAACATTGAACATTCTTCTTGTTAGACTTCTCCTTTCCCCTCTGTACATTCTTCTGCCTATCAGAGTTTGAAGCTTCTGACTTTTGACCATCATTAGTTCTCTTCCTTGCTTCTGACCAAGTCTGCTTCTGATGCTTCTTACCAGAAGTTACTTTCAGAGCCTGCTTCTCTACTTCCCTCTCAGAAGTTCTCGCGGTCATATGCAACTCATACGCTTCTAGACTACTTTGCATCTCTTCAACTCTCATGGTGCTCAGATCTTTAGAATGTTCAATTGCTACCACAACGTAATCAAACTGAGAAGTTAAAGATCTCAAGATCTTCTCAATAATTACTTGTTCAGATAGAGTTTCTTCACAAGATTTCATCTTATTAGTGATCAGAATCACTCTAGAGATGTATTCATAAACCTTCTCGTTGTCCTTCATGTTAAGATTCTCATATTTCTTTCTGAGAGACTGAAGCTTCACCTTCTTCACTGATGCGTCACCACCGTAACATCTAACAAGTGTGTCCCACGCAGCCTTTGCTGTTTCAGAATCAGCAATCTTCTCAAACACATTCACATCCACACATTGATGGATGTAGAACAACGCTTTATGATCTTTCTTCCTCAGCGCCTTCTGTGTTATCTTCTGGTCCTCTGTTGCATTTGCTTCTAACAGATTATAGCCATCAGTAACAAATTCTAACACATCTTGAGATCCAAATAACACGCGCATCTGGATCTTCCAACGATTCCAGTTTTTGCCATTAAATACTGGAAGCTTGGAATGAATATCGCAACCGTTTCCGTTCATCTTCTACCTTATGCAATTTACGCAGAATTTCCCAAATCAATATTTTCTCAAAACTCCCAGAATCAGAATATTGTAATTCTTAATCACAATACTTCTTTTCCCGTGGATTTCGAACCGGAGCTCTAGATACCAATTGTTGGAGCACAAGAAAGATAAAAGACAAAAGGAATATTTACTAATAGCTTCATAAATAAGGATTTACAATGAATTACAATAACCTACTTCACTAAGCTATTTATACACACAAATTAAATCTAAAATATATCTTATAAAAAGATATAAGAAGATCTAAGATTTTTATCTTCTAACAAAGATATAAACAATCTAAAAAATATTTCTAAATATAAATTAATATCTAATTAAATCTAAAAAAATTCTAACACCTACTTGAATATGGATAGAGAAAGTAGTAACGTTGGTTGAAATTCATGAATAATTGAGTGAATGACCAAATGTATATTGTGTGAAATTACTTGCATGTATTTAATGTTAAACCTTTGGACTCTATTCTGGTGAAATGATGGTGTCCAATGCATTTTGGTTGGAAATTGAACTCTAAAATGCAGGTAGAACACTCAAAAGAGAGAAAACCATGGTTCTGGGCTGGACGCGACCGTTTCCACTAACATGGGATGGTCGTGTTTCCCTCTAAAAAATTGTACGGGGCTTGCCTGAGCCTGGCATGACCGTGTTGGCCAACACGGGCAGGCCGTGTCCCCTATAGATTTTGTATAGATGGGTGTTCTAACCCTAACACGACTCGTTTTGGTGAGTATGGGTGTGTTGTGTTGGCCCCTAACTTA